ACAAATAATATCAGGGTCAAAAACTTATTTTATACCGACGATTAAGGCGTTGACACGGAGATTCATCATTGTAAGGCAAAGGCCCCGGGTTCGAACCCAACAAACTTACAAATCTTCCTTTTTTTTAAAACCCCTGAGAGTATAACCTCGTACTTGAAATCACCTTGTAAAAATAAAAAAAAGTAATGGAGGTTTTTTTTCAATTATCACCAAAGTGTTGTCACAAATGGTTGTCCTTTATCAATAAAATTGTTTATTAATAATCTTGTGGTTTAAGCACTCTCTCGAAAAATTTCAACTAAAAAAAAAGTGCCTTTCAGCTTATAAGCATTCTGAGTTGTTTTGAATTTTATTAATTCAGCCTTTCTAAGGCTTCTTTGGATAATGGATCGAAGGACTGATAAAAGTACAGTCGATTTTTCCGAATTAATTTTTTAAAGTGTTTTTATGAAAAAAGAAAGACTTCAATAGCTTTCGTAAATCTCGTCGAACCGGAAAATCCTTTATATTTCTCCTGAGAGTTGAAACGCTCACGGCCTTAATTTGATTGGTATCCCAAGGCGGAATGTGGGCCGTGAAATCGCGCATAACCAAATATACAAACTTTAATTTTTAATATTCATGAGTTGGGTATTTTTAGAAGTCAGTGCGTATTGAATTGAAAAAAGCGTAGTTTGGATGTTCCTTCCGAGATAAAATTCAGATCTTAGGCAATACAAGAAATGCCAAACGTTTTTTTTAATAGCGCAGTATTTGAAGGACTGTCTCAGTTCCATAGTCGTGGAAAACTTTTAATAACGTTAACAGCTAAGTTATATCGGGAGGACCAGCTTCTAGAAGAAAAATCAACAAGGCTTGGTGTAGAGCCAAGACGAGTTGGCAAAACGGCCAGTTGAAGAAAGGCGGCCAAATTCAACGTCCCCCTTCGATTTCCATACGAAATCATGACTTTTTCAATCATAAACAAGTGGTCTCGTGTGCCGGAAAGACAATAAAAAGGCGTTCGGTGTTATGACATTACAGTCCGAAATCGGTGAGTCGGTTCATCAACCAAACAATGCCTAAGGAAATCCTTGAATTTCTATATTTGTTTAATTTTTAAATGGCGTTTTAATTGCAGGGTCAGAGCAATTTGTTAGTAATAAATATATTATATTTTTGATGTTCTTGTTCACAATGCGCTTCCAGTGTTTCAAAATGCCATGTCTGAAAGCAAATAGAGCTTTTTTACATCAGTCAAAAAACAACAGAATTGGTTTAATTTTCATTTTTAAACATTCGATGATTTTTCTAAAAGATATTTTAACAATTTAATATTAGAAAGTGATTTCTATAAAACTCTTTAAAATGAGTCGGTTATACAATTTAAAATTTTAGGAAAAAAACACCACGTGTTAAGCCAAAATAAACCAAACAAATCCATGGATTTTCAATCGTTTATTGGTTTAATTAAACTGATATATTATATTTTTGGCGTTCTTGTTCATAAAGCTTTTTTTTAAATGCTAATATCTGACGAAAAAATAGTTTCTTTGCATCACACAAAACAATTAAAAGCTAAGGTCAAATTTTTATTTTAAATTTAACGATTTTTCTGAAAGATATTTTAACAATTTAATGTTGGAAAATAATTCGTTAAAAACCTTTTAAATGTATACATTTTAAAGAGAAAATAAATTTTTAAGAGTATTTAAAATTTTAGGAAAAAACACGTGGTATGCCCCCCCCCCAAAAAAACATGAATTTTCGATCCATGGATTGGTTTAAGCTGATATATTTTATTTTTGGCGTTTTTTTGGTTTAAAAATGCTAATGTCTGACGAAAAAAATAGTTTCTTTGCGTCACACAAAAACATTTAAAAGCTAAGGTCAAATTTTTATTTTAAACATTTAACGATTTTTCAGAAAGATATTTTAACAATGTAATGTTGGAAAGTAATTCCTTAAAAACCTTTTAAATGTATACATTTTAAAGTGAAAATAAATTTTTAAGATAATTTAAAATTTTAGGAAAAACACGTGGTAAGCCCCCCCCCCCAAAAAAAAATCATGAATTTTCTATACATGGATTGGTTTAAACTGATATATTGTATTTTTGGCGGTTTTTTTTTGGTTTAAAAATGCTAATATCTGACGAAAAAAATAGTTTTTTTGCGTCACACAAAAACATATAAAAGGTCAAATTTTTATTTTAAACATTTAACGATTTTTCTGAAAGATATTTTAACAATTTAATGTTGGAAAATAATTCCTTAAAAGCCTTTTAAATGCGTACATTTTAAAGGGAAAATAAATTTCTAAGATAACACTTTATAATTTTAAGAAAAAAACACCACGTGCTAAGTCAAAATAAACCAAACAAATCTATGGATCTTCGATGGTTTATTGGTTTAATTAATATAATTGTTCATGGTCTGCGAATATATAATATTTTTGGCATTGTTATTCATAAAATGTTTTCCTTGTTTAAAAATGATAATGTCTGACGAAAAAATAGTTTCTTTGCATCACTCAAAAGCAGTTAAATAGCTAAGGTTAAATTTTCATCAAGAAAGATATTTTAACAGTTTAATATTGGAAAATTTCCTTAAAAACCCTTTAAAATGGCACACAATTTAAGATAATTTATAGGAAAATACACCACGTATTTAGCAAAAAAATAAATTTTGTGGATCTTCCATGGTTTATTGGTTTAATTAATATAATCGTTAATGGTCAGAGCGACTTGTTGGAAGTGGATATATTATATTTTTGGTGTTCTTGTTCATAAAGCTTTTTTGTTTAAAAACGCAAATGTCTGACGGAAAAAAAGAGTTTCTTTGCATCACACAAAAACAGCTAAATAACAGGTTCAATTTTCATTTTAGACATTTAATGATTTTTCTGAAAGATATTTTAACAGTTTAATATTGGAAAATAACTCCCTAAAAATCTTTTCAAATGGCACACATTTTAAGAAATTGAAAATTTTAGGAAAAACACCACGTGTTTAGCCAAAATAAACCAAACAAATCTTTCAGATTTCGATGGTATATTGGTTTAATTAATGTAATACATAAAGAAACCCTAACATTTTATAGTTTAGTGTTTGTTGTTGTTACAAAATTAATTTTCTTTTCATAAGGTTAAGTTTAAAAATGGGGGGACATTTTGTCTTCGGGAAAGGGGATTAGGGATTTGACGTTTTCGACGTTTTATACAAAATCTAGCATCGTGATGGAGAAAATTTTCTGTCATGAATATTCTTGTGGGGATTATTCATCCAATAAATTGATAGAAATTCTTTTATAGAATTTTGTGTAATTATGGGCGCAGTAATGAAACTTTCTACGTCCTTTCTTTACAAATCAAATAACTTTCTAAGATCACATTGAAATTTTCTGTATTTACGTTCTGTTTTTAAATAGAGAAGCGTTGTTTTCCCTCTTATAGGACAATAGACGATTTGTTTAAGTTGTTTTCAAGTCCCGCCGACGATAGAAACCTTTTCTGGTGTAGGCAGAATTCTGAAGTGTTTGGAAATCCGAAGGCCAAAGTTGACGCAATGCCCTATTTTGCGACGATGGTACAAGTGATTTTTAACTAGTCAGTATTTTTTTTGTCGTGTTTGAATGCTAATTAAAAAAAAATACTATTTGTCTTTGGGGTCCGTTCGGATTCACGCCGGATTATGCAACCAAAGAGCCAGGAGTTACCAGTTCTAGTCGACACTTTTTAAAACTTCAAGGGGAATGATCACGGCCTTCTTATAGACCTGACCATAAATCATACTAATATAACATCCTTGACACTTAAATTGAGTTTTATCAGGAACACACCCGAGGCATGATTGATAGGCATCCCCCAAAGAAAAAAAATTGATTTTTGAAAAGAATGTGTGATGTTTAGTGACTGTTAGTTAATGATTATTTGGAGATCGTGATATGCAGTCTGGTGTGACGTAGGCTTAAGAAAAATATTTCTTTATCGTTCCAATGTTTCGAACTTTATTGAGATCATTTTCAGGGCTCAAAGTGTTAGCTTTCTGTATAGATGAGTCATTATTGGGTTTTGTGTTGAGAGTGTTCGTGTGTTCTTCGCTCTTCTCATGTAGAAATATGTGGTGTTTAGTGACCTCTCAACATGACACCTAATAATGACACATCTACACAGAAAACTAACACTTTGAGCCCTGAAGATGATCTCAATAAAGATCAAAACATTGGCACAATACAGAAAATGTTTTTTCTAAAACCTACAACACACCAGACTGCATTTCACAATCTCCAAATAGTTATTTGAAAAGAATAATTAATTCAAAGTGCCAACAATTTTATATGATAAATTTTTCGTGAAGACTGAAACTGGCTCCACCAATTAAGCTAAACCCCAATCTAGAAAGTCCATTAAAAAAAAGAGTTTTATTAGCATGTTATTAGATGTTATATTATGAGACAATTATAAATTTATACAGAATGGACTGTAAGTAGATTATCCCTGCTGTTATCCTGTAGACTCCTGTTATCCCTGCTTGCCTTCTGCAACATGGATTTGGCTTCACTTCATCAACGATGCATATCTGCCTGATGGTTTCAGACCGGATCGATTTCCAAGGTTCTTGAGAAAGCAGTATTGCCGACTATTCAGCTAGGACTTTCAGAGAAAGTAAAGTTCTCAAAATTTCTGATTAATGCATTCATTGTGTGTTACATTTCATTATAAATATCGAAAATATATTTATAAATTATATATATCTCCTGTTTTATACCAAAACAATACAAACAAATTTCATCATTGTATTATTATTATTACACACAGAAGAGTTGTCATTACCCGATATGCTCACCTGAGGGTCTAAATGTACCCCGTTATGTGGCTGCATCATTGTATCGTCAGTTTATTTTAATTGTAAACAGTTGCCAAAGTTCAACTGGCAGAAGTTTTTTATAAACCCAGATTTTCTAATAGTTAATACAATAAAAAAAAAATTAATTTCTTACCTTCTTTATTCTTGTTTTCAGACCAAAACAGAGTTAATAATGTTGGAGGGAAATCTGAAAATGGCTTCGCATACAAGGAAAGCCCTGTCGGGAGGGGTAAAACACAGACACATTTATCAAGCGTCCCTAAATCAACGCCTACACCGGACCCGAAGGCAGTAGCGGCCATCAACCATGCATCGAAGGGCGCTGAAGCTCTTGCCATCCTAGTCAACTACCTTGTTTATCAGGTAAGACTATAATTAACATTTTCCTGATGTCGGATATTAATACAGTTTTCTTTAGGTCGATGCGTTTTCAACACCTAAACTCAAAAAAGATATTGAAAATTTGAATATTGAGTGGTTAAAAACGAAGCAAGAGTTGGGTAAGTTGTGATTGGCAATTTTTTTATGATTATTAGCTACAATAATTTTTTTTTTATTTTGTACAGAGGAAGCTAAGGTTAACTATGATAAGTTAAAAAGTGAATATGATTTAGAGAAGAAAAATCATGATGAGTCATTCGATGAGGCTTATAAAGCTTATGAAGACGAGAAAAACGAACTCAGCGAAAAATTTAAAGAGGAATACAATAAATGTAATTATTTATTATTTAAAAAATAAATTTATCATTAATTTAATGTTATGTATTTTTTAGTGTCACAGTTTCATAAGGAGAAGTTGAATGAAATTAGGAGTGATTTTGAAGCAAAGGTAATTTTTTGAATGTTTAAATTTTATTGAGGTCAAAAAAAGTTAAACTGATTATTGGGATTGTTTCAATCAACTCGGTTCCAAGTTGAATATTGTACTAGCACATTAAATAAACCTCTGTAATAATTAATTTGACACTGGAGTGAGCTTTGTTGTTAATTTATATTGGACAACGTTACAAAACGAAGTTTTATGGTGCAATTATAAGAATAAACTATGCTTTATAGTCAGCCGACTTTTTCTATCTCATATTCAACCCATTGTTCCAAAAATATAATGCTAATAATTGATTTATTTTATTAGGAGAAACTGCTTAAGGATAAATATGACCGAGAAATTGAATGCCTACAACATAGCCAGTTGGAGCAGTTAAACAAACAAAAGAAAGAGAGTAATTTAGAAAAAGAAAATATGAAAAAGGAATATTTGAAGATCATAGCAGAGGGCAACAATAGAGAGGAGTCACTAGTGAAAAAATTGGAAGAAGTACAGAAAGAGTTTGAGCAGTTGAAGCAGAAATCCGAACAATTTTTAACCACTGTCGGAAAAGACGCAAAACTCAAGGTAACAATTTTTTTTTTCAATGATCATAAAATTACTCGTGTTGCAATTATTTTTTAAAGATGTCCATACAGCAAACGAATGAATTGCAACAAGAGATCGACTCTTTGAGAAGCGTACTCGAGTTGAAAAGTGCAGAACTACTAGAGCTTAGGAGGCAGAGCCAAATTTGGCAAAGGGACGCCGAGCAGCTTCCACTTGCCCAACATAAAGTCACAACGCTCCATGCCAGAGTCGAAGATTTACAGGCCAGGCTGAACGACAAGGAGTCAAACGAACAGTACGTTGAATTTTTTATATACGATTATTTAAACATCGTGAAAATATTACACATTTTTATAAACTGATGACTTTTATTCAATATTTTCTCTTTTTTGCAGGAAGCTTGTCCAAGAAATAGGAACTCTCTCTCAGAAAGTCGAGAAAGAATCAACCCAGAAGAAACGTTTGTCTATGTATAATGAAGAACTTCAATGGAAACTTAAGAAAAACTATGAAGTTGTAAATGCAATGGCAGCTCTTTCTGGTATTATTGCAGATAACTATTATTTACTCTATCCTCGAAAATATAAGTAGTACAGTAAAATTTCGATATTTTGTATCCTGATATATTTGCTGGTCCCTTGAACAAATCTCATTCAAACTAGTCCTTCTCACACATACTCATACAATAAAAACACACATACTCTTATATATAAAACCAATCATACATGCACATCCTCTGTCTAGAATCTGGGTCGGAGGGTACTTGATATCCCGCCCTGACCCGGCTTGGCGGAGCAGCGGTGGAGCCTTGAGATGATAAGCTGCACCACCGCCCAGCATAGTCCTATTCTAATGTACACTTAACCTTAACTTTAACCTATGAAATAAATACCCCACTATATACAACCTATTATCCCAACCTCTCTCAAGAACCTAAAAAGTTTTTCTTTAAACTCGTTGCCATGCTCGAGCATTGCCTTATAGTCCGGCAATATTCCATTTCGGTTCCTATATGGGGCCAAGCTGCGACACCCCTCCAACATGTGCACCACCGTGATTCTGTTATCTTGTCTTTCCGGGCACCTAGGTCTACTTGCGCCAACCAACAGTTACCACGTGGGTGACCGATCTGCAGGCGGGTCAACATCTTACAATTTGAGTTTTAGCATTGAAATCCCAATTAAACATATGAATAGAGTGGTAGGAGTTTCCTTATAAAGATGGGTCTATATCCTTGTCACATAGACCACAAGGGTCTATTGTGACCAGTGGTGGGTGTTTCCAGGATTTGGTTACAACCAATGCCTCAATAACTCAAGATAAACCACAGTACTTGCTAAAATGCATATTGCCATTAAAGCATGGAAAAAGTTTAAAAATGGCAACTACAATAACAAATTGCTTCAGAATTTGTGGTTTTCTAAAGGAGGATTTATCAGCCATAGAGCCGGCAAATGAAATCCAAGCTCGCATCCGATGGCAAAATGAAGACAATCCTGTCAATTTTCAGGACTGTTAGTTTTGATGATAACATTGCAGTTATTGGAATGCTTGACAATGATGAAATTTTAACTAAAACAGACATAGGTTGTGAAGAAGTGGGGGATGTCATTTTTTAGCAGAATCAAACATGGATGAAAATACGTTATGGGCAATTAACACTACTTAATTAGCAATAAACAGCACACGTTTCAATAACTTTTTCATTCAAACGAAAAATGATCAATATTTTCAAACGTACATATAATGTTATATGTACATATAAAAAAAATAAAAACTTACTTTCTAATCATCCATATGTATAATATACTAAAAAATTAAAACTTTTGATATAACATATTATCACAATTAATTAAGGTTTTCAGTTGAGATAAAAAAAGTCAATGGCATGAGCGGGATTCAAACCCCTGAGGTCACGATAGCTCAAGTTGTAGAGCAGCGGCGTATCAAGCCGAAGATCGTGGGTTCGAATCCCGCTCATGCCATTGACTTTTTTATCTCAACTGAAAACCTTAATTAATTGTAATATATTAATTGGTCAAGCAGACCACGAAACTAGTGAATTGAACAATATATTATTGTTCATTCACCCTTGGTATAGTGAACATATCAATATATTGTAGTTATCTTTTGTCCCCTTGAAGATACGAAATATGGGATTTAACTGTATATTTGTATGTAATATATACTTATACTTTATACTTGTATATAAAAAAATCAGGGATAAAGAAAGTTGGAATGTCTCTTTCAGATGAAGTCTGTGTTTTTCTTTCTTTCAAATCTACTTGATTTTTTTAAATAGAAAATCATAGTATTAGGCTTATGTCAACTACTTTATCTATTGTGATGAAGTCCATAAAAATTGTATTACTAATTAGTAAACTCATAATTTTTTTTGCTTAAGAATTAATTTGGTTTTCCTTATTAATAAATTAGCCACAACTACACTCATTGATTTATTTAAAAAATACCAAAAATATATTTAAGTTTCTCATTTACTGGTATTGCTCTACGTTAAACACTGCATATAAATTCCGTTTAAGTAGATTAAGCAAGTTTAAAGTTTTATAAAGTTTTCAGTTTATTATTGTCATTAATACAGGGACAGGTGTAACAACACCAGTGAAGGGCGAAGGCCGGACTGGATATTCTTTAAGCAAAACTGCCAGTGAAGCCGATATCGATGGGCAAAAGTCAGTATACATTATTTTGCATATATGTCATCTTTGTATAATACCAAAATTTATATTTAAAAATCTTTCGTTTCAGATACTTTTCCCATCAACGTAATTGTTCCACCCCTGTGGATTCACCGAAGGTGAAAGCCGTAATCGAAAAAAATGAGTCGATAGCTTGGATGCTTGACATGTACGATGAACCGGAGTGCATAGCTTCAAAGATTCTCCAAAGGGCGCAGAGCATGAAGTGCACGGCCACAACTCAGATGAAGCCGACGCAACTCAAGTGCAGGAATCGTTCTTCGAAGTCCCTTTCAGTCTCTTTGCCAAGGAAGGCGTCTCGGAGCAAGAGCAGTCCATGTACGCCCGAGAGGAAATCGCCTGATGACGAAAGCTGGGATGAACACATCACAGAGGAAGTCATCGTTGTAGAGAGTATCGGCGATCGGAGCGTTCTAGAACTCTTTGAAGTCGACAACACGGAGATACACATCGAGGACCACCCTAAAAAAGAGCCTTCAGAAGAAGATATCGAAATGCTGCGGAGAGTGGAAGAGCCAGGATACAGAGCTGACGTATCTGTGCCAAAAGAGTCCGGTGGGGAAGCGATGATTTCTGGTGAGGCTTCTGACGATGATGATGTTGTTGATGATGACATTGACTCAATTCAGATCTCCACCTCAGATGAAGATTTCAGCGACCATGAAGTCGATTCTTCATTAAATGATCCGGATCTAAAAATTGATTCTCTTTATTCTAATTCTATACAACAAGAACTAGAAAAATCTTTGTACCAAACAGATTATATTATGAATTCTCAAGACTAAAAGAATACTATATATATTGTGTGTGAGTGTGTGTAAAAGAAATATTATTTAAAAAATGTGTTATTAAAATACTTGTATAGAATAGTAATATTTTATTTCTAGTCTGAACTAATTTAAACTGTTTTGTAAATATTTTTCGCAATTTTTCAATTCATAACGTTTAAACATTTTTGATTTTGGGACTCATCGTGGGTATCCTTGATTGTAAATAATTTTCAAATTTTGATCAGTGAGGGAAGATTCTTTGAAATTATAGGCTGTGGTTATAGTGTGAAAGATTTTATTAATTATTTATGTTTATAATTTCTTTAAACTTGTTTTTATAGTGTTTTAGCAAGAGGTAATCAAATAAAAATCAATGTTTTATTGTGGTATAAATATTTTATTTGAAAACTAAATATTGTATGGTTGTTAATATTATTAATTATAACTATTATCTTAGAAATGTTATAAACTTGTTCATAAAGTTTAATGTTTTTTTTTTGTAATACAATCAGATGAAAATATTTTGAACAAGAAAGTGCGTGATATGAGTTACTATTGCATTTTTATTGAATGTCACATCAATTTGTTTATAATTTATAACATGGATTTACGATATTTGCAGCATATTCAATATGTCAAGTGTTGTTATTTCTGCAGACGCATAATTTCTCGTATCAATCTGCATGGAAATGCTTTTTTAAATTTTGTAAGATGCCATTGATCATGCATGATTTAAATGTACTAAATACAAAGTTGTTTTATTTATCATTATGATTTTTAATTGTAAACCAAGATTTACCTTTTAGAAGAAATGACACAATTCTTGTCAGAAACCTGAGACCCACAAGACCCACTGGGCTTTCTGAACAAGAGGTCAGACCTTTCTACCATGTCATTTACAATACTATAATATGGTAAAACAGATTAAAAAAACTTCAATTGATAAGCTTTAATTATTTAAATTTCTTATGTACATTTTTTAAATTTACAAATCAACTTATTTTTGATATATTATCCAAATTTTCATTTAATTTCTTCCTTCCTCGATGCATACCTTACCGTCATGTTTGGCTTTACGAGTAAAACATGAGATATTACACAGAAAGTTACATCCCTCCAACCAATTCATTACAGAATGGACACATCATGTTGGTAGAGTAAGTGTATTTTTAAGCACATGATGTTTTATTGTGAACATGAATGATTTTTGAGCATATTAATTTATACAAAAATAAAAGTCTACATTGAAACATAAGTGAGGTCTATATAAAATAATAATAATAATAATAATAAAAGAGAGTGTCATAGAATGTAAAAAATCATAGATTTCATCAGGTTTATTTATTATGATCTAGTTAGTTGACAAAGAAGGAAAGTGGCAGGCCTAAGTTTAAAGGGATAGGGTACTTTCGCTCTTGGCTTTTAGAAATAAAATATTAATTTTACCCCTAATTAATGAGTAAATTAACTTACCTTGTTTTAAAATTGAGGTGTATGTTTACAGTGAAATAATTTTAAGAAATTCAAATGTTTAAAAAAATTCCAGAAATGATTTACTGGTTCCCAGGCCATATAAACAAATCTAAGCCTTTTATTAAATATCCAATGAAATATTTGAGTAAAGGCACCAGATTTATGCCTTGCTCTTCAGATATGTAATATGTCACCAGAAAGGGACAATGTTTCTATGTTGTACGGGAAATAAAATAAAATAAAATAAATGGCCCATTGTGCTATGGGTGAAGAAAGCCTCGCATGAAGCCAAATATGGCCTGAAAAACTATTTTGATTTTTAGTGACTGGGAGTTTTGGTGGCCCTGTCAAAGCCCAGTGTTGTCATTGAGGAGGGACTCTGTAGCAGGTGGCTGGTATCCAAGTCAGCTGTCGAGAAGGCAAGAGAGAGAGGCAGCTGATGCTGAGCGTGCCCTTGCTGTTGAGCTGGTGTGGTTGGCTTGCTCCAGGTGGATAGTGAGATATCGTCGATTAGACAAGTCCTGAAACCATCGGGGCAGTGTCCCTCCTTATATATGGAATTCCTCTACATTGACTGACCGCACAGAGGAGGGCAAGGTCATTCCTGAACTGGGGTGACACCTAGTGATAGCATGATAACTGCAGGTGATGAACACATCAGTGTTTAAAATGGGTGTGCAGGCATGTACGATTGTACAATGTCTGTATCAAAATTCGTGCCTTGCACTCACATGCTTTCTCCGCTTCAAGAAAAAAACACTGAATATGGATGTTCTAACCCATCTCCTAATCCTACCTAGCCTAACCTAACTCTCTCTAACCCAAACCCTACCAAGCCTAACTTAACCCATCCTAACCCTAAACATACCTAATTTAACCTAACTTAACCCGTCCCCAACCATAAACATACATAATTTAACCTAACCTGCTCCTCTAATCATAAACATACCTAATTAAACCTATCAGTACTTTTCCCTAACCATAAACATAGTTAATTTAACCTGTCCGTAATTCAAAAAACGCGAAATGGTCACGCAAAAAAATTGTGTATACAGCACAAACAAATCCATGTTAGTCATTGTGATAAATTAATATCGTGTAAGATCTCTCCACGTGTTCTGCGGGTGATGAACCTGTAGTATGATACATCTTGAAGCGCTTTTGATATACCAAATCAGCAGGGATAGGCAGACCAAAATGATCGGTAACGATCAAATTGCAAATTAATATCTGTTGGTACTTCATTTTGACAACTGTGAAGCAGGATTTGGAATAAGTCTCTGCAGCTCAGCTACTTTCCATTCAAAGAGAGCGAGGAACTTTAGGATGAGACCATGTCATTCTTGGGCAAAGTAATTTATTCGTTATCAAACAGTGGGGAACAAAACACGGGCTAAATATTGTGAAAATGTGTTTTAATTCGTAATAATGAGTGTTTTATTTTTCTCAATGGACTTTAGCTTATGCTAGTGAAATTTGTAATTTTTCAATGATAGAATATATGCCAAATGCTCAAAGACAGTTAGCAAACCTAAAGATTCGGTCTTGAAAGGTACTTCAGAAGTAAAACGATAAAAAAAATAACAGATTAGTAGCATTCTAAAAGCATTCATTTATAAGTCTGAATGATAGTTGAAGCTAAAACTGTTTTGCATAACTTAAAATTCCATATGAAAATGGAATGAAACTACACAGGATCAAGAAATCATCGTATTTAGAATGACGAGAAAACTAAATGAACAAAGTCTCGTGACAATTTGCTTATCTTTATTGTTGGTCTAAGCATAAATCAAATCATGTTGTAGTCAGTATAAAACAAACATCTGCTTATGTTTGCTTTTGTATATATGATGAGAAGGGTTAGTATTTCATCACGAATCTCTTTAAGAATTAAAGCGCGTTTCCTCTTTTAAGCAATCAGATGTGCAGGGCAAGAGTTGACCCTTTTTAAAAAGAATTTCGATTTGAAAGATGAGCTATTGCCTTTGAGAAAGACGGGAGAGAATAAATTCCGGTTTTGTTAACCGTGGGTATGGATTGGGGAGGGGGAAGAAACCATAATATTGGGTGAACAAAGTTCGTAAGTCCGGCTTTGCTCAGTGACAAAGTCAATAAAGGCTTTGTAAGTCGTTATGGATTGAGACGACTGTGTTCTTTTCTATTAGAGTGATTCCGAGTTATTAGATCTAATCGAAATATTTTCCGCAACTTTTAAAAACCCCTGTAATCCCTGTTTAGAAGAAAATGTTGAGGTTTAAATTTCCCTTAGAACTCAATGAAACATTTTGTTTTGGATTTACACAAAATAGTGGGAAACGTGAAAACTACATACGTTTCGATTTCTCCAAATAGACAGAAAAATACTGGAATTTTTCGGGTTTAATTATTATAGACATAATATACATTTTATGTGGCATCTTGAAGTTTGGCTTATCACCAAGTACCGGAAAAGAAGAATTTTTATTGCAAAATCCTCGAAAATTCAGAATAATCTTTTTTTTCCAAAAAAGTATCTCGTTGGAACAATGTGAAAACTAGCTTAATTGAATAAATGTTTTAATTTAAAAATTATACCGATACGTTCTTATTCAGACCAAATCCTGCACGTAAAAACGGTTGTATTGGTTAATAATATACTTAGTATTAAATCAAAACTTTATCTATGGACATAAATAAGAGTTTTTATTTTCATATTTTTTGTGAAGTCCATGGGGTTTTGCCCTTACGCACTTGAATTCGTCTATTGTGTCCAAACTCTGCTATTGATTTGTCTGGATGATTGCCTTTTCTTTAACAAGGCATTCATTGTTCAGGAATGCTAAAAACAGGCGTCCTCCAGCAGTAAATAGCTTTCCTCAAGTAACGAGCTTTGCCCTGGGTGACCACATAATATACAATTTGTCGTGGACTTACAAAAAAGAAAAACTGGAGGGCTTAATTACTCAACAAATCTTTGATATATCTATTGGGTTGTCCGGAAAATAATGCAGGATTTTAAGTTTTCATTAAAAAAAATCTATATAAAATATTCTGTTTACGTTTACAGGATTACTCATTTGTATGAATGTCAACACTTATTAATCCTCTTCCAAATGATATTGTTTGTTTACCTCTGTAGCATTCCGCTACTTGGAAAT